ACACACACACACTTTTGACCGTGTCGCCATCCGAGCAATTGTTTGACTTTCCCCTTCCTCATTCTTCCACTGCGCCTCTCACTCTTTTCTCAAGTGACCGAGTATGACTGCTCTCGCACAACCAGCGTTCTCGTTTCAGGATGCCCACGAACGCCACCAAGGACAGATGTATCAGTGCGACATTTGTCAAATGCAGTTCAGTCAGAAGGTGCCGTCAACCCAGAATCCATGACACCACTCGATGAATCGCGAGATAAACGACTTTCAGGCCAACATGCACCGCCATCGGATGAGACATAGTGGTGTAAAGCCGTACGAGTGTCGGTACTGCAAAAAGCGGTTCTTTCGCAAGGATCAGGTACGTGTCTCTGAGTGTAGAAAGGTGGTGAAAGTGGCAGAGCGGTTGAGTTTTCGCGCTTTTCGCTCCACGCATACGATTTACGCGCCTCGTTCATTTCTCTGCGTCTTCTACATCCAAGGACGATCGCTGTTAGATGGCACGATATCCATTACTACGTTTTCCAGACCTGCAAGGTCGCTGTTTCTTTAGAGCGCCGGTTGCGCAAGAAAGGCCTTGACGATGAAATCCACTCGTTAAGACAAGCGGTTCTCCCGCTGAAGATTCGGGATGCAAATTTCATCTCACAAACTTGCACACCGAAACAGGTCGAACACATTCAGATGCAAGAGCATTCGATGACGCACATCAAGACTGGAGTAGACTTTGACTGCCCGGTCGCCTTTTGCACTCATCAGTTTAGCCAACACTCTACATTAAGGTGATTGATGAATGATTTTTGGTGTGACAAGCAAATTCTCCATTTTTACAGATCTCATTTGGACGAAGCTCACAATGTCTGCGCCTCGTCTCCGGCTTCCTGCAAGCGGTGCTCTTTACTTTTTGCTAATTCGCGACGCCTTCTTCTTCACTATCAGACGAGACATGACGACAGCGAGGTATTGTTCAACGCGATTCATTTGATTTGCGAAGATTTTGAGGATATTCTTACAGTGCAGCGGAGCTGTGCCTAAGAAAGACAATGACGCATCACTGAAGAAGAGACGGCCATTGTCGACATCAGCATCACCTTCACAACTTCGTGGTCCATGCAAAAAAGAATTTAGCCCACATCAAACGGATTCGTCCGAAATATCTTCTAGTCCGGATTGGGACCAGGTTGCTACTTGCTATTTTGGGCCATTAAGAGTCAACTAGATGTTATCTAACGAGAGCTCAAAACAAGCATAAGGCTAAAGGGCTTTAAAACGCGGTCCCCACAGCGAGTTATAGAACCAGAAGTAGTTTTTTCTATGCTCAACAGTCATTCAACGGTACACGTCTCTCTCTCTACATGCACTCAAAACTTGCTCTTTTTCTTCGAGTCCTTCGTACTCGGCAGACCACTCTTGCTTGGGTATCCTTGGGTTCAATTAGCTCTCCCACAAACGACCGATTTCGCGATTGAAAGCGAAAAGAAAACCAGCTTTACCTCACCGCTCTTGCCATTAGAGTCGGTCTAAAACATCTCGAATCTAAGGTTGAAATCCCGACGTAAGCAGTTTTAACTATAAAAGCCCTTTCTGTAAGCGTTTCTTGGATTTATCTACACATATAAGTTCATGTACAACGAAATTTCGTCAAATAGCTAGTATCGGTGAGCTTTTTTGGCTATGAGGAGAAAATCCTACAAATCGTGGTAGCTAACCTTTAATTCATTTTACTCCAGAATCAGCTCAACTCATCTTCTGCTAAATTCTTAGCACATTTACTTAGTTTATTTTCTTGATAGGTTCGAAGTTTGGACTGCTAGAAAAA